ACAACACTCAAGAAGCTCAACACCATCCAGGACAAAGCAGCCCCCACTCGATTGGCACCACATCCACAAACATCCCACTCCCTCCCCCCACTGACGCTCAGTCGCAGCAGTGTGTACCATCTACAAGATGCTCTGCAGAAATTCACCAAAGATCCTCAGGCAGCACCTTCCAAACCCACGACCACGTCCATCCAGAAGGACAAGGGGCAGCAGGTACATGGGAACACCACCCCCTGCACGTTCCCCTCCGAGCCACTCCCCATCCTGACTTGGAAATATATCCCCGTTCCTTCAGTGTTGCTGGGTCAGAATCCCTGGAATTCCCTCCCTAAGGGACATTGTGGGTCAACCCACATCACATGGAGTGCAGGGGTTCAAGAGGCAGCTCACCCCCACCTTCTCAAGGGGGGGCAACTAGGGACAGGGCAATAAATGCTGGGCCCAGCCAGCAATACCCAAATCCCACGAATGAATTTTTTTTAAAAACCCTCTCTGAATAACATCAGCTCTTTCAAAACTCTGTGGCCCCTTTGTCTGAACTTGCGCTGAGTCTCATTTACTAATCATTCCATAGTTGCCACCCTACACTAACTCCTAGTAATTTCTGCCCTCTTTAAAGCCCTCCATTGCTTCACCCTCCCTACCTCTGTCACCCCCTACACCCCTCCCCATCTCTGTAACCCGCTCCAGCCCCTACACCCCCTCCCTATCTCGGTCACCCCCTTCAGCATCCTTTCCTCACCCCACCCATGGCACCTTCCCATGCAATCACAGGAGGTTTAACCCTTGCCCTTCCAACGTATGCCCACTTCAGTGTTGATCTGCTGTGAAGTGCGTTGGGATGTTCTGATGAGACGGAAGGCGTTATACAAATGCAGCATGGTGTTGTTGTGTCGCAGGGGTCTGAGCTGCGTGCCCCCCTGCCCTGTTCTTACCCAGGTTCTCCTTCAGGAGCCAGGTCAGCACAGAGTCCCGATATGGGATGAAATCCGATTTCTTTTTCTTGCCCTGTGTCCATGGGGGAAAACAAATCTTCAACACTCCACCAGGAAGCTGGTTACAAAGTGGGAAAGTGCAGAGAGAGAGAGAGAGAGAGAGAGAGAGAGAGAGAGAGACGGGGCCGGGGAGAGAGACAGACAGGGGGGGGGGGGGGGAG